ATCACGGAGAACTGGGGTGTTCAACGTTTGCGTAGAGCGCAGCTTGGGGGCTCGCAACATGTGAAACTTGTGTTTATGCCCTTGAAGTTGCCTAAACCCTAAACCCTAAACCCTGAACCCTGAACCCTAACAAGGGGGGTTGGGAAGCTTATGAGCCACTACCTGCGAACCTGGAACTCCGCAATGGTGAGCTGAACCCCAGAAAGGCTACTTCAGCCTCCCCTTCCGTAATCCCTACGGTTCCTGAGTATAAACCTGCATGACCCTAAGTATATGCTTCTAGGAACCCCAGTGGTACCCTTTTACCCTTTTTGGGTTCTGGGTTCCCATATATAATATACCAACAGAAAAAAGGGTACCCTTATTGTAATATGGTTACTGGGCTACCAAGGCTTTACTACTGCTGGCATAGTTCCGAGGGTTTCCCTACATGGAGTGATGCTGTATTCTGTCCAATAGTACAACTACTCTTGTCGCACATTTAGATGGGGACCAGGAAAAGGTGCAAGGGCTCTTACGGTGTTTCAGCTAATTAGGGGGAAATCTGTAGTCCTACTCAAAGAATGGCAGTGCGGCAAGTACCCCCAAGCCCCCCAAATCCTAAACCCTAAACCCTAAACGAGGGTCCGCACTCCAGACGGCTTGTGCCCGCACACAGGCTGAAGTGGAAGAGCCGCGGGACGCGGAAGATGACAGCCAGGTCACACTCGGGTGGCGGTATGTGTTCCGTGTAGTTGTTTTTTGTTTTTTTCCACCCACCTAATGTAGTAGTTTCCATTTTCCTTTCCATTATCCCCACAGAACCCCAATGCAGTCTCTATAATCCCTATATAAGCCTCCATTAGCGGTTTCTCAGCCAGGAATCTTTGTACTGGCTTTGTTACAGGCTCCAGTCTACTTGAAACCAGCCTTGATTGGGTTGCTGTTAAGGAACTTAATTTAATTTACTATATTGGGGGGAACCATATTAATTACTATATATACCCATTATGGTAACTTTATCTAAGTTCCTTAACAGCAACCCAGTTGAGACTAGAATGTAGACATTCCATGCTTTCTCGCTCCTTTCTCGAGCTTTTGAACGGCAAGCCCGAAAGTGGGCGATTTCAGTTATGGCTCTGGCAGCAGTGGCCAATGGTCAGACGTCCATGACAGCATGCACTTTAGGTTTCTCCTTGTCTCGGGCCCAAGTGATGAGTACCATCTTCAGGCAAGCTTCGCTATTGGTCGCAATGCTTTCCAACTTGGTGCTTGGAGTCCCGAAGACGCGAGAACTACCAAGCTGTGTGCTTCCCCTTTTTGATTGTTAGCTTTGGCCCCCAAGAATGCCTGCTTTCTATTCTCATGTCAGTTCAAGTGAGTTGCTCAAAAGGAGGGATCTTGTGCCCGTATTTCACGCCGCAAATGACGCAATCCCTATTCCGTCGCGCAAGTGTTACGAGAGCCCTGGATTTCTGCTGCAGCCATTTTTGTACAAGTTACCGAACCCCGAAGATTCCCTTGACCNNTTGACCATGGCAAGATTCATTTGGCTTGGAATCTTCCTGGCTTGCGCCTGGGCAGAAGAGAAGGATGCTCGGCCTCTGGAGGTGTTTCACTTTCTGGGTTGCTGTTAAGGAACTTAAATAAAGTTACCATAATGGGTATATATAGTAATTAATACGGTTCCCCCTTTATAGTAACTTGAATTAAGTTCCTTAACAGCAACCCAGCTTTTCTTTGTTTTGATGCTTCGTGCAGGGATTTGTCTCAGTCTTCCTTGCTGCGCGGGCGCAGAAGACTCTTGGGGGCTTTTCAGAGGCCCGGCGCATGCGTGATGTGAGGTGGCGCCAAATAGCTCCATTCTGAACACGGTGTGCTCACCCGATCACACATCTTCCTGGAGGGCGCAACTCTGTCACGTCAGTTTGTTTGTCTTTATTTTGGTTACTGTACCTTTGACTTCTTGCCTCTTTCCTTGGTTTCCCTTCATCGGGCCGTCTCGAGTGACTTTTTTGTTTTTGTCACTTGGTTCCCTTATCTCTCCGCGTGATCCTCCCGCAGTGCGGCGGGCATTTGGGCACTCGGATGCACACGACGCGGCGAGCTTGGTGCTGTTGGAGCGCTCTTTGCACGGTTTAGGGCATGCGTTTATGATGCATGAATGCATCAGTATAGACATTATTGCATTCTCCAGTTTGCCCGGCTGGCTGAGGACTCCTCTTGCATGCTGCAATCGCACAGCTCAGCACCGCAAAGCACGAAGCCGGCTTTCTTGCAAAGTGGCATGTCGCTGGCGGAGCTTCCAAATGATGCGACCTGCAAGAAGAAGTTCACTGACAACAAGGTTTGCAAGACCACGAGCGGCGTAGATTGCACGCACACCCAGCTGGAGACCAAAGTTGGCAAGTGCTGGTTCTCAGAAACCTCAGGGCGGAACCCATGCAAGCCATACCCAGTCTCAGGAACATGGACCACGGCCAAGGTTGATTTCGAGCCAGATGAAGCTGGCGTCTGCTTCGATGTTCCAATGGGCATTTGCCCCGTGCAGCTTCTGGGTTTGTGTTTGGTACTCTTTCGGATGTTTCTGGAGGTAGGAGATGGGGGCAAGCGCCTGTCTGGCTTTCCAGGGGTATCCCAGGATTTGCGTCAAGAGCGGGAGCCCCAACAGCGGGGCTGGTCGTTTCTGCTACTCCGGGAAGCAGACATGTGGCACAAACGGCGGTCCTTCGAATGGCAAGGTGGGGAAAGTCTGTCGTAGCATTCGACGGGAACAGGATGTCTTTTGATGCGCAACCCCTCATATTGCTCTCCTGTTTCAGCTTGGGTTACCGCTAACAACCTCTTAGGTGGACCAGACGTTTTGCACCAAATGGACGGCTCCGGACAAGTTCTGTGTCGTAAGCTTGGCAACCAACAACAACAATCCCAACAACATCCAAGACCTCAGCAACTTTGCTATTCAGTTCGGCTGCTGCGATGGGAGACTTAGTTGCTGAGAAGGTGTAATGTACCTCCTAGTAATAGCCCCCCCCCACCATTGACACCTCTATCATTAGGGAGGGTAAGGGGATGTAAAACGAGTGGATTGCACAGCTTTGATTAGTCGGGCATATCAAATCTAATTCCTTTAGCAGGGGCGTACTCGACGACTGAGGAGTGGAGGTGTAGTGGGAGATCCGCACATCCACACCTTGGACGGAAACGAGTTCGACCTCTACGACAAAGGAACTTACTCTGTGTTCCACTACGGCGGTACCGTGGCTGCCCACAGAGGTGTGCGTTTCCTTTCTTTTTGATCGGTTTGGCAGCCGACTAGGGAGCACCGAGCAGGAGTCAGAAATGGCTTTGTGCTCCTGTGCGATTGGGGTCTTTCATTATGTAGTTCTGTAGGGAACGCTTTACGCTCCCATTCCGCACCCTACAGGGTCCTGGAGCGATCATGCAAGCCAGAAATGTTTGAGGGACAAAGCCCCAAGTGTGAGGTGACATGGA